GCATATTAACAACAGAAAAGAACAGTTTTGTTGAATCAGCTGGGGCTTTATTAACATGGCATAATTTTTTAAAAATATATTTTCATTGATTTCAGAGAGGAAAGGTGAGAGAGAGAAAGAGGTAGAAACATTAGTGATGAGAGAGAATCGTTGATTGTCTGCCTCCAGCACACCCCACATTAGGGATCAAGCCTACAACCTGGGCATGTGTCCTGACCAGGAATCAAGCTGTGACCTCCTGGTTCATAGGTCACATGATGCTCAAACACTGAGCCACGCTGGCCAGGCAGCATAGCATAATCTTATCAAAGAAATGAGTGGACAGCTTGCCTGTGTTTCTACACTTTTAAAACCTAATGGTTGGAGGAAAAAGGATAAAATGTTGAACATAAAAAAGGTATTTCTAAAATCTAGGAATTTCAGAGACATATTATAAACTACAAGTTAAAGCTAAATAGCATATCTAGATCTTCATTTAAAATCCTAATAAGCCACATTGAAGGGAAAAAATGTATTTGAGATTTATTTTGAATGGTCTGAAAAACAAAGAACCAATCATTATAAAGTTACTAGAGGCCTGGTGCATGAAATCGTGCACTTGGGGAAAGGGAGGTCCCTCAGCCCAGATGTGAGAGAAAATAGTGCACTCAGGGAGTGAGGGAGGGTCCTTCAGCCCAGATTGCAAGAGGGCACAGGCCAGGCCAAGAGACCCGCACCAGTGCATGATCAGGGCTGGGGAGGGATGCAAGAGGATGGCCAGCCAGGGAGGGGCTGTGGGAGGGCTCCAGGGCATGTCTGGCCTATCTTGCTCAGTCCTGATCATCCGGACCCCAGCAGCAAGCTCACCTACTGGTCAGAACATCTTCCTCGTGGTGCTCAGTGCACATCATAGCGACTGGTCAACCAGTCAACTGTCTGCCCCTGGTGGTCAGTGCACATCATAGCGAGTGTTTGAGTTGCCTTAGCATATCATTAGCATATTACATTTTGATTGGTTAAATGGCAAACCGGATGACTGGACACTTAGCATATTAGGCTTTTATTATATAGGATACTCACTTATAGGTTGTGCTAAACTCCTTCAGTGTCTCCTCACTCACACCTATAGTATCTCTGAAAGAAAAAAGAACTTAATTACCTCATGAAACAAAACAGAAAAGCAGAAGGTATGTCACATGAAATAGAAATTTTGGTGACTATTTCACTATTTGGGTCATCTACTTTAGGGCCAAATCCAGTCTGTCACTTGCTTTTGTACAGTCAATGAGCTAAGAATGTTTTTTATATTTTTAAATTGAAATTGGTTAATAAGTTGATATAGATTTCAAGTGTACAATTCTATGATACATCATCTGTGTATTGCATTGTGTGAAACCATGTTCATTGCAGTATTATTCATGGTTTTTATATTTTTATATGGTTGAAATAATAAAAAAAGAAGAATGCTTTGTTAAGCATACATTAATTTTAAATGTCCATAAATAATATTTTATTGGAGTTGGTCCATGCTCATCCATGTATGAATTATCAATAGCTGGTTTCTCTCCATAATAGCAGAGTTTAGTAGTTACAATTGAGACTATATGAGTCACAAAATTTAATTTTTAAAATTGATGAGAGAGAGAGAGAGAGACTGACTTATTTGTACATTCGGAGAGAGAGAGAGAGAGAGGCTTATTTGTACATTCATTGGTTGATACTTGTAAGTGTCGTGGCTGGGGATTGAACCCATCAACTTGATATATCAGGACAGTGCTCAAACAAAATAAGCTACCCAGCCAGGGCCTGGCTCATAGAGTTTAAAATGTTGTTATTAAACTCTTTACAGAAATCTCTGATTTAGATAATAACACTGCCAAAAAAGCTATGGAAACCTAAAGCTTCTTTAAGACAATTAATTTGTTTAGGGAAAAAATGAATTCTGCTTTTCTGCTCCATATCTTGACTATCTCTTGCATTTTAGACATTTTAGAGAAAAATTTACAAAGGGGAATGTTCTCTGAAGAGATTACATAAGATGGGGAAGGAATTCAAGAATGGGTGAATGGGTATTTTTAGGACAATGAGAGCACTGTCTCCTATTGCATAATAGAATAAAGAGAAACCGTCGTTCTGTGGGGCAGTAAAGAGAATATTGTTTCTGAATACAGTGAGTGTACTAGCTCTTAAGGAGTACTTTTAACCAGTACCCCCAAATTCTAGCCCTTGGAGTTAACTACCTAAAACTAGTATCATCCACACCCTTCCCTAGCCCTGCCCATAGGTTCCCAGTACTTGGCTTGGATCTGTTGTTCCAGGTTGTGTTGCATTCGCATCCCAAGCTGATAGAGCTGGTCCCACTGCTGCGCCAACCCAATGGTGCTGTATTTGATGTCCAGAACCAGAGCCTCTTCTAGGTTGTCTCCCAGATCTTCAATCTTGGTCAGCTGGCGTTTCATCAGCTGGATCTCCTTCTGCTTCCTCTGGAAGAGGAGAAGAGAGAGAGTCACCCAGGGCACCACTCCTAGGGAGGGGAGTGAAAATAAGAAACGGATGAGTTTCCTCTAATTGCTTCCATTCAATTATTTTCAGGGATATTCCTGTCCTCCATGCTAAATAATCTATTCAGAAAAACTATTGGTATCTTGATAGGAATTGCATTGAATCTGTAGATTGTTTTGGGTAGTATGGAGGTTTTAATGATGTTATTTCTTCAAATCCATGAACATGGTAGATGCTGGGATTCCCTTTGCTCCTCAGTGGGGACTTCTGAAGCTGAGATATCCCACTGGATTCTCAACTGGCACACGTGGCTGTGAATCCAGCCTGCTTTAAGTCTTCCCCTCTTCCTAAGATCTGGATGGTGGCTTCTTCTTTGTATCCTTAGTAATAACACCTCTTTTCGGCTAGTATTCAAATGGTTCTGCAGGCTTATTATGCTATAATTTAATTGTAGTTTTGATGTGGTCATGGCACAAGGCCTGCACACCACCTACTCACCTTCTTGACCAGAACAAGAACTCCCTATCTGACAATGTCTTATTCTTTAGTATTTAACTTCTCTCATTAGGAAGAAATAAAATGTAATTTGTTAAAATTTTCTCCTAGGGGGGGGTCAATGAAATAAGGGTAAGAAACACAGTGGTAGCCCAATGCTTCACCCAATTGTTAAGAGATCATCTAGTTTAATTTGTATAATCAAATAA